TGTCCCTCTTTTCTATAAACTCAATATGTTTGGTGTGTCTGGTTGTATAGCAGAGTTCCACAGCAATCGTACTCCCAGTAATGTGTATTTAAACTACAATAAATGCATTTAAAAAAAAAATTTGTGTAAATAAATGTTGATTGTTGATGATAGAATGTTATTGTTATAAATCTCATTTTAGTCACTGGCCCTGCCTGGCTACGCATTTTTGGCTTTTGCACATGTGCGGCAAAACACCTCAATGCGCCAACCAGCATCTCTTCATAGATGTGCATCGAATCATTACATCTCTCAAGGGAACATTTAGCGCCTCCATGTAGGGCGTGGTGACGCTGAACACCAGTGCTGCACAGTGCTCAGCACTGGACTAGAAAGAACCTCTAGTGTCTGTCTGAGTGACTGCCACTCAGGGCCGGCGCTACCTGTAAGGCGACCTAGGGCGCAACTTAGCAGGGGGCGCCGGATCCCTGCGCCCGGAATCACCGGTGCGACGACTCATGCTGTGCCGCCTGAGCGCTTTTACAAGCCTCAGGCGGCGCAGCACTGCTGTATGGAGGGTGGCCGGATTTGAGTGACCGGCAGGAGGGACGCGCAGAGCACTCCCTCCTGCCGGTCTCTCAATGTAGCGTGGCCGGGCGACGCGGAACGCGGGACAGGAACCTCTGTTTCCTGTACCCGGCCACGGCGGACTGACAGGAAGTGCTCACTCATTGAGTGAGCACTTCCCTTCAGTCCGCCGGCGGCTGGGTACAGGAAACAGAGGTTCCTGTCCCGCGTTCCGTGCCTCCCGGCCACGCTACATAGGCAGGAGGGAAGAGGAGGGTAAGGACCACCAGGGGAGGGGAGGGAGGGTAAGGACCACAGGGGGAGGATGGGGAGTAAGGACCAGAGGGGGGGGTGGGGGAGGGGGTAGGACCACTGGAGGGGAGGGGGGTAAGGACCACAGGGGAGGGAGTAAGGACCACTGGGGGAGGAGAGGAGGGGGGGAGTAAGGACCCCTGGGGAGGAGGGGGGAGTAAGGACCACTGGGGGAGGAGGAGGGGAGGGACCACTGGGGAGGGGGATGGGAGTGGACCACTGGGAGGAGAGGGAGTAAGGACCACAGGGGAGGGGGGTAGTAAGGACCATTGGGGGGAGGAGAGGGAGGGGGGTAAGGACCACTGGGGAGGAGAGTGAGGGGGGAGGCACCACTGGGGAAGAAGGGGTAGTAAGGACCACTGGGGGAGGGGGGGAGTAAGGACCACTGAGGGAGGGGGATATTAAGGACCACTGGGGGAGGAGGGGAGGAGTAAGTACCACTGGGGGAGGGGGGTGAAGGAACACAGGGGGAGGGGGGGTGGGGAGTAAGGACCACTGAGGGAGGGGAGGTAAGGACCACTAAGGGGGGAAAGCACCACCAAAGGGGGGTAAGGAGCACTAAGGGACAGAAGGGGAGAACAAGGAGGGACAGGAGGGAAGGGGAAATCAATAAATGACAGGAGGGGAGAGCACTATGAAAAAAATAAAAAAAAAATAAAGAGCTGCTCCCCTCTCAGTCCCTATCCTACCCCACAAACCCTCTCTTTTACACTACACACATACAAAATGCATCCCCCCCCCACACACACACACAGAAACATACAATGCATTCCTACTCTCACACAGACACACCCGAAACACACAATGCATCCCTTACGTTCACACAAACACTCATTCTCTTTCACAGAGAAACAAAATGCATCTCTTACACAATCAGTGCACCCCTTACAGATACACACTGCATTCAATTACATACACAGAAACACACCTTGCACCCCTTACACACACACACACACACACACACACACTCAGAAGCATACAATGCATTCCTTACATGCAAACACACACTGCATCCCCTATAAACACACTACATCCCTTACAGAAATTGGTATCCCTATACACTACATTCTATAAGAACACACACACATTGCATGCTCTACAATAACACATAAAACATCCCCTACACACATACACTCCACTTCCTGTGAGAGAACTCATGGGTGGACCATGTAGGTGGATTTATGGGTGGGCATTGTAGGCATACTCACGGTCAAGCCCTGGGAGCCCAGACCTTGAGCTGTGTAAGGGGCCCTAAAAATGGAGCTGCTTCCTGTTCGTTAATTGTTGTGAGCACTGTTAAAAACTGTCTCCAGAGAGCCTCTTCTACACCAGACCTGTGGAGCCAGACTGAGCCCATTATCAGCCTCTTGTCCTCATCTGGTGGTAAGTAGGCAATCGAATATATTATTAGTGGCACTAATCTCTAATTTACCTCACATTAAATGGATACTATAGTCACCTATAGACTTTTTAATGTAAACACACTGTCTTTTCAGATAAAAGACACTTTGTGAAGACTGACGTTGGCCCATATGGCAGAGCATATGGGCGGGGCATTTTGATGTCACATGGTAGGCAGGACATATGGGGAGGCGGCAAAAAATTTTTTGCCTTGGGCGGCAAAAATCCTTGCCCCGGCCCTGCTGCCACTAGAGGTGTTCTTAGCTAGCAATGTAAACACTGCCTTTTCTCTGAAAAGCCCATACATAGAGTAAAGAGTGAAAATTAGGCATGCCTTAACAACCAAATTGTATTGCTCCTTGACTGAATGAAGCTGTTTTATCCAGCGAACTAGTGCCCGGACCTCTGTTTACTATTGCTAGAACTACCAAAGTGTGGCCTGTGGCTCCGGACATTAGTGTTTTTTATTTAATACATTGTGATAATACAGACTGCGGAAGACTAGGGAGTCTGCTAATGAAATACAGTCTCCCTTTGATAAATGAAGTACAGCTGTGGTGCTTCTTATAGACTTGGATGTACAAAGTGCATCTGGCGTATTAATTTATGTTCTGCTGTACAGGGTTGCACTAAACTCTATGAGCAGTGCAAATCTCCCTTGCATGTCTCTTAGGTCAGTACAATTTTCATTTAACACTGTAAGTTCCATTGTAACATTGTAACAGAGCTCCTGTACTCCAACTGAGTACCGCAGCTTCCAGCTTCCTTGCTGCCAGCAGGGACCATGGAGAGATTCAGACCAAGTTGCCAAAGCTTGACTGGGCTCTCTCAGAACCTCTTCCATGGGACAAGGCTGCAGTAATTATAGCTCTGCAGACCCTCTCTCCTGTAAAGCAGTGGTAGCATATTTTTCCCCACACATATAACTCGAGACTGAATGTAGGGGGTAGTTTGACCTTTATTGCTCACTCAGCTATTTATACACCACAATGTTCACTCTCCCTGCAAGGAGTCAATGTACGGAACAATTGTCCCTCCCTGGCCCCTCTCTGTCTGGGGACTTCCTTTCCCTGAGCCGTATCCCCACATGATAGATATCCCTGGAAAGCTCATCACCGAGCACCCTCACTTTCCAAATAGCTGAGTTACAGTGTGTTAAAGTTTTACTGGGTCACAGCTATTCTCCAATTCAGCAAGGAGTTTCAGATGTTCGGCAGCATAGTCCCAGTCTCACAAAAGAGGTTCCTGGGAAAGGGAGCGCTCCAAAGCTCCAGGTATCTTCCAATGCCTCCTTGACCTTCTGAACCCCCTTCAAATAGCACTCTATTTGAAGGTTGGGGGTTCAAGATTTATCGAACATCGACAAAGTCTTCATCTGAGGAACAGTTCCACACAGTTTCATGGTATCTTCCGGTCTGGTGCTCGATGTGTAAAACAAGTCCAAGCAATCCCCAGAGGTCCTCAAATATGGCTGGGGAGCACATTAAGTGACCGGGGTGCCTATAGACAGATGAGTGCAAAATTTAGTCTAAAATAGTCAAGCTGTGACTACGGCAGACTTTTTTTTTGCCAAAATTCTGCAGTTTGGTTATCATACACTATCTGTGTTCAGTAACTACACCATATAATATATACATTAGATTGATATTTTTTTAATCTTAATTTCCAAAACTATGTACCCCTTCGGTAGAAATACCCAACAGCATGGTATTAAACTATATTTTATTCCAGTGTCACTTCTACTATATGTTATGAAAATAAAGGAACACTATAGTGTTAGGAATGTAAAACCGTATTCCTAACACTGAAACGGCCTTCCTCCTGGTGAATAGAGGGTTAAAAAACCAGTGCTGAGATCCCTAGGCACCGAATTGCTCTCCGCTTCCTTCCCTATAGGAATGCATTGAATCAGTGCTCTCATATGGGGATTTTCAAGACACTGGATGTCCTCATGCAAAGTGTGGGGATGTCAACCATCATGGACATAAAGTGGAAGACAGCCACTAGAGGTGGTCTTAACCCCGCAATGCTTTCACTTGCGGGTTATGGGGGCAGGGACCCTGCAGCCCGACCACTTCAATCAGATGAAATAGTCTGTGTGCCTATAGTGTCTCTTTTGATTTTTCTAAATCTGATAGAAAGATAGGAGCAAAGGGGATTTTAACCCCTCTTCCCAAAACTTGGATGAATAAATTAAAATGTGAGTTTGTAGAAATCTGCATCATTATAGTTTTTGTGTTTTTGAACAGCAATATGTATACAAAATTATTTTGTTTCATATTTTGGAAAGAATTTGATAGTGGAGGCATCCACCTTTAACCACCTAAACTACTTGAGCTATGTGTGCTAGTGTGTTCTCTCTTTTTTTTCTTTAATTTTACAAAAAGTGCAGATTTCAGTAGAACTTGGGATTTTCTTTTATAAATTAACCTTGATACACCCCCCTGGCTGTCCACCAAACCAGTTTTATTTTTGGGCAGTGGAGTGTACCTTTAATTGTGGTTGCTAATCCTATGACAATGATCTTGTCATAGGGCCATATGTGACCAATTACTGTCACTATAAAAAAAATGTAGAAGTTTGCTTTTGGCACTCAGAGTTTTGAAAGAATTAATAGGAACATCGGGTGTACTGAATTTATGACTTCCTTTCACTGTGTAATATGAATGGTATTGTAAAAGTCATTATAACATATTATTGGTATATTTCTAATAAAATCTCATCCCTTTTTTGTTATATAGATTGGCACTTTTAAAGCACATGATGGGGAATATTTTTTAGAGCCACTGATGAATCCAGGTGGAGAGGAGTATGAAGATGTGGACAGCAAACCCCATCTCCTCTATAAACACAAAGCAAACGGTGCAGCTGTTTCTGGAAATACACAGCCAAATTGTGATACTTCAGGTATGTAGTATATTAACTTTTCCTTTTGAAATCAAGAGGTCACCCATTGAGACTTGAAAAAAGGAGATTTCACCTGTAGCAGAGGAAAGGCGTCTTTACAGTAAAAATAATAACAATGTATAATTTGCTGCCTAAATAAGCAGTTTGATTGGATTCTGTATATGTTTTTAAAGTAGGTCTAAATGTTTCTTGGAAAACAGGTTAATGTATTTTGAGATATATGACTATAACAGTCAATATGAGTGTGACACAGTAGCTTGTCTAGTGAGAAATCTTACTGCTGTTTAGGAGTTTTTCTCATTTTATGACACAATTCATTCAAAATTGTATCACACCTCAATACATTTGTATCAGTTTTTTTTTGTCTCCTGTTGTCTTCTCCTACTGTAGGAACTTGTCAATTTTGAATAAAGCAGTGTATGTTATATTGCCTTGTGAACCAGAATGTTTTCATTTGTTCAACTTTGAAGCTGATTGTGGTTTTTGTATATCTTTTGAAGTTATCAGAGATTAAGTTGCAAGAAGAGACAAATAAGTAGAGATTATCGTGGAAAATTAATTCTCCTCAAAGTGAAGCGATTGTAGCGCTTTGAACATGAAGCACATGTTCTGTCCCAGGACATTATCCTGATTATACACAGTTTGTCATGTTTGTTTAGTTTTTAAAAGTCCACTAGCACAAACACATCTTGGCAGATTGACATACACTGACACATATATAAAACAATGGCTTAAAAAGGCTTTTGGTGCTTTAACACAAACACAATTAATTTTTTCTTCCTTTAATACTATTAAAAGTTTATATTTTAATTTATTACCATCACCCCTGTCTCCTGCTGACGACATCGGTGTTCAGTGGTAGATACACTTGCTGTAAGACACACCTCTTCTGCATACCAAGAGCACAGGCTTACATCCCATAACAGGTTAAAAGTTCCCACAAAGAACAAAGAACTGTACCACATTCTGACTCTGAGTCCCAAAGATATAGAGGTCTAGACACCAAATGGAACAGAGTTAAAAGTGACAGAATTAGACCAGATAGTATAAGTGATATGGAAGTACATCACGCACCGCACAATCTAACCAAAAATACACCTTCGGTTTTTTTAGACAGGGAGCCATCCCTAAAAAAAGAAAATACTCTAAATGTCAAGAACAGGTTTCAGATTTTAAGTTCCCCAAAAAAGAAAAGACCACATATAGAACTAGAAGAAGTGGAAGATCCGCTCCTTTCACTAACCCTCCACTCACAACAATAAAAGATACATCAGGTATTTTTAATATATCAGGTATAGAATTAACTTCACATGAATTGAATTTATTAAATAAAGGTTTAAAATTCGCACCGACCGCAGGAATAAAATCCTTTGATCTTTTTCTTGATAACCAAAAATTTCTCAAAAAATTAACTATAAAACGTTTTTTTGAAAAACGTAATGAGAATGTCCAATTAGAATCAAGGGACAATAAACAACCAATAGAATCACCAACAGAAGTTTGTCCGAATGTTTCTTCATCTTTAAAGGGAAGGTCTAATTTTTATCCCTCCCATGAAAAAGGAAGATATTTAGAAGTATTTAATGATTTGGTTCAGAATGACCTTGACAAAATTCAATGGAAACATAAAGATTCTAAATGTAATTTAACAAATAAAGAAAGACAAGCTCTAAATACATTAAAAAAGAATTATAATTTGGTTATAAAAGAGGCCGATAAAGGAGGTGGAACGGTCATCATGAGTAGGGAATATTATATGCAAGAAGCTTACCGAATTTTGGGAGATGAGTCTACATATAAAAAGCTTGCTAATGATCCCACAAAACCTTTTTTGGAAGATTTGAGATCTTTACTCCAGAAGGGTTTGGATCAAGCTATTATTTCATCAAAGGAATTTCAGTATATTTTTAATCCCTTTTGTAAAACAGCCATTTTTTACTTTCTCCCCATAATCCACAAATGTGTAACGACCCCCCCAGGTCGACCCATTATCAGTGGAATTAACTCTTTATCGTGTAATCTCTCTGAATACGTGGATTTCTTTTTAAAACCCTATGTATCTTTGTGTCCCTCTTTTGTTAAAGACACTACTCATATTCTTCAAAGTTTACAGTCATTCATTTGGAAACCATCTTATATATTAGCTACAGTGGACGTTACCTCCCTGTACTCCAATATCCCTCATGCTAAGGGTTTGGAGGTTATCAGAGACGTTCTAGTCCTACAACATGTTTTAAACTCCACTCAGATCGATTTTTTGGTGTCCTGTATCCAATTCGTTTTGGAAAAGAATTTTTTTTTTTTGGTTTGATACTGCTTTTTTCTTGCAGCGATGTGGCGTCGCCATGGGGACAAGGTTCGCCCCAAGTTTCGCCAACTTATATGTATCCCATTGGGAAGCCTCATGCATCCAGCTGGGTCCTTGTATGGGGGGGAGCCTTGTCCTATGGCGGCGCTACATCGATGATGTACTTATTATTTGGGAAGGAGATGTCCGGAGTCTAGAAAGATTTATTGAAAGCATTAATTCTAACGACTATAATCTTAATTTTACCCATAACATTCATCCGTTTACCATAGATTTTCTGGATCTAACTTTATATATAGAAAATGACACTTTGAACACAAAAACCTTCTTTAAAAAAACTGATTGCAATACAGCAATAAAAAAGACTAGTTTACACCATCCAGTATGGCTAAACAATATCCCTAAAAGCCAAATAACCCGAATGAGAAGAAACTGTTCTAGTGTTCAAATGTTTGAAGAGCAATCAAAATTAATACAAAACAGATATGTGGAAAAGGGGTATAATATAGACCATATACAAGATGATATTGAAAAAATAAAGGACAAAGATCGTACAGAATTTTTGAAAGATAAAAATTTAAACCATAAAAATAAAAATAAAAATAACTATAGTTACAAAGATTTTGCATTTATTACCAAGTACAGTTCTGAAGCCAAGAAAATTGAAAAAATCCTTAAAAAACACTGGGCCATTTTAAAAAGAGATGATGTTTTAGGAGATAAAATTCCAGAAAGGCCTGTAGTTATATATAGGAAGGCAGACACCCTTAAAAATAAATTGGCACCTAGTTTGTTACCAAAATTGATTAAAGGTCCAAATTCGAAAAACTTTTTACAATCCACAAAAACTCCAGGTTTTCATAAATGTGGAACATGTTCCACATGTGTCTATCAAAAAAGAAAATCTACCTTTTTTGTAGGATTTTATACTAATCAAACATATACTATTAAGAAATTTATCCATTGTACATCCACATATGTGATTTACCTTTTACAATGTGGTTGCGGAGCTCAGTATGTGGGAAGAACCACCAGGACCCTACACACTAGACTCCGGGAACATTTTAATAATATTAGAAACCAAAAAACGGAACATAGTGTCCCAAATCATTGTAATTCTTGTCATCTATTTGATTGGTCTACCTTTATTGCTATTGGTATAGATCAAGTAACTCCCCATTGGAGAGGGGGAAATAGAACTAATGATCTAGCCAAAAAAGAGGCCTTTTGGATTTACACACTTAATACCCTTAAGAGAGGTCTTAATCAAGATATTGATCTGGCGGGCCTTTTGTAATTATTTATGTAACATGTTTGAATTTTTATACTTTGTTTTTTTCTTTATCTATATATATTTTTATAGGTATGGTTTTTAGATATGGATGTATATTTAGATAGGGACTTGGGTATATATATGCTCTATTCTTCTATATACATATACATGTTTATACTATGTATTTTTTAGTTTGTGTTTTATAGAGTACTTGGATGTCATCCATATTTTGATAGACATATTATTGTTTTTATATTTCTTTGTTTTGTATATTATGTAACTAGATGGTCATTGGTATTTTCTCCCTGTGTCCCACTCTGGGACGTTCGGTGCCCCAAATGCAACTTGTGCGCCTGGGTCTGTCCGTGCGTTCCACGGTGGAACGCGGAAGTGTCATGGCATAGAGCCGCACGTTATGAACGCCATGCGTTCCAACTTGGAACGCGGAAATGAATACATCTAGCCGCACGTTATGGACGCTATGCGTTCCAGCTTGGAACGCGGAAATAAAAACATCTTGTTACATCCACCGGAAGTGATCACGATGGATGTCCAATCAAAAACCGAGAAGTCCGAACCCGGAAGTGAATGAATTTTCCGCGGCAATTTCAAATGGTGAAGGCTATATAAAGAAAACAGAATTTTTAATTCTTTATCCCTGAAGAAGTCTTTCAAAAGACGAAACGCGTTGGATATTTTGCTACAGAGAGACTCCTTCTCCTGGGTACCACTTGTTAGTGGTGATATGCTGCTATGAATTTTATTTGATGTAAGTGCATTTTGTATAAATAAATTAATTTTTATCTACAATACTGCTCTATATACCTCTTTTTCTTCTGAGGATTGAGCGTCTTGAATTTGCACCTTTGGTCCGTATATACAAGCTTCCTAAGAAAAGAACCTTTTATCCACATACCCTATGGAAGGGAGACAAGTTCAGATCTACAGTTTGGTCCTGTAAGTTCTCTACCTCCGGGAGTGTATTATACATTGACTGTACATGCTTCACTATTGTGTGATTTTTCTTATATTTTAGATCTTGTGAAGGAAGTTTCTTGTATTATCTACAGGTTGTATATATTTTTTGTGCTACCCCTTTAATCTATACTAGTATTTTATACAGTATAGATTTACTTTTTTGTTCATATTACATTGGTGTATGTGAGGTACACTGTTGGGTGTTTGGCACGTTTCCTCTTGTCTTGGTTGGGAGATTATATAGTACCTCTTTCTTTTTTGCATATACTATTGTATTCCTCACTTGGTACTATATACTCACATGGCATTTAACAATGTTTATCACGAAATGCGACAAGAACGCAACAAAAGGATTAATTTATTATTTCATCAAAAGAATGTGGTCCTTGATAATTCTCTTTCTAAGAGTTTTGTAAAATTGGAATTGCTATTAGAAAAAGA